TTCTCACTTTTTATGTACACAATAAATCACTCTTATTCGCTAATAAACTTTAAAATGTATTTAATTTGAAGTAGTTACAGGTGCTAAGTTAGTAAAATTCTACTATCACCATTTAAGATTTATTTTCTCTTGAAGGGATTCAGTCTAACCTTATATCGAATCGAATCAATTGTTCTCAGTGGATTAAAGACCTTGCCAATAAGAACATCCCATCATTACGGATCGCATAAAATAATTCCTTAGTCTAGATATTGAGGTTTCTAGTGGTACAAATGGCTGATATATAATGATAGCTTGTAGTAAGTCTACTCAAAAAGAAGAAATGATGAGCGAACGGTTATAAAAAACTGTCCGAATTAACTCGACAATCCAGAACGTTGATAATCCCTGGGGGATTAATTAAGGACGCCATTTTATTGTAGTTCTTGCCGCGCATCTATACAATCCGTCCCTTTTATTAGATAATAGTAACATTTCGTAGTTCTATCAGCAGTCCTAATAGATTATTTTGATTATAATTTCGAATCAACTAATTTATTTTGTAGGTAGACTTCCTCTTAACTTTAGACAAGATAAACGCGTACATCTTCTCAATCTACGATATCTTCATTTAATTCTATAATCAGGTGTCACAACCACGTTTTTGTGACACAGGATCTCTACTTATCGTGTAAAACTTAGCTAAGTACGGTACAATCCCGACACTGAACAAGTGCTACTGGAACTACGCTTCCTATTAGAACACTAACTTCTCGGGTGTGGGACTACACTTCTTTGACCGTCACTAGGTTACTCGATTACACAAGTAGTTGAGCGTAGGCTTTTGAACAGATAACTATCACTACAGTTTATTCTTTTCTATGCCTTTCTCCTCGTCCACATGGCATCATAGTTAGCCTTTATATACTTTCTAAGATATTTACTATTTACATTAATCTCACGTAGGAGATCTCACAACCATAACCTCCTATCCAGTAATAATCTTACAACACGACTACAAATCGTGTCAGCATAAACAACTCTCTAACACAAAGGTTGCACATCATCAAGATTTATATTTATCTAGTCTATCCTCCTATTCGAATACATACAAAATAACTAAGGACAGTTGATCATCAAAACACCTTACTAACAAACATCATAACACATCAATTTCCATCAATAACAAACACCATAACACTTCTAACTCATCACGGCAAAAAGGTACCGTGACATCAGGATAGATAAACTAATACTTGCCCGAATTTATTTATTTCATGTGTTTACATATTCTATTCAGATTACTTTGCAATCGATTTGATTTTTAATTTGCACTATGCTGATAGGATAGTCTACTGGGCACAGTCAAATTGGGCTACAATTTCATCTCTTTCTCTAGACTACTCTTGATATTATGATTATATTAGGTGATCGAGTTATTCACTTGTAATGCAGCTGTCTTATTCGAGTTATTACCCTCAAACGCTTGTTCTATTTATAGGATAATTCATCAGGTAATCAAGGTTAGGGTTAGCGTTAGGGTTAGCGTTATTACCATACATCTAGTTGTTTTATGTTATTTGTGTCCTTATCTAATAAGTGGAGCACAAAATAATGGATTTCATGTTGCGGAGAATTGAAATTTTACAGGCTAGCTTACGCATATAATTATATAGAAATTATGAATGAAAACTATACAAACCGGTGCTGTTTATCTTCATTACTTTAAATATCGTATTATTTACACCTTCTACCATGATCGTGATAATTTACTGTAAAAAAAAGTATGCTTTAATGATATATAATAAATCTTAAATGAGAACTTGTTGTGCTAGAGATAAATTAAAATATTACGAAATGATACAAATTTCCTATTGTAATCGCGAAAAACATACCTGATGCATGAAATTAATCGCGAGCACTTCCCTTTTTTTATTTAATCATGTAAAACTAATACAGTATTCATGCTTCAAAGCTTTTATGATGATAATTGAAATTTGTTAATGCCACTCGATTAAACGAAATAATGAGCTATTAAAAACAAAATATGATAAATAAATAAGGCTGCTCATATAATAGTGAGAACAACAACTACATAATACCAATTTGCTAATAGCGATAATGGAATAGGAATATCCCTGTAAATAGAACAGTAAATATAAAATTATCTTCATGGCTACATTTCATCATTTCATCGGCATAACAGTTAAATAAAGTTTTAAAATTCGTACTACTACTTACATAAATACAGCAGCAGCAGAATGAAAAAATTACCATACTATTACAACATCTTAAATTACTACATGCAAAAAGTAAAGCAAAAAGCTGTCATGTGGTCTTACATCCCTATATGGTCTTAAACATAGCGAACTTGTATACTGTTACAGCGAACATTCGATATAGGGTAAGTAAGAGTAAGTTGACGACATAATTTGGAGCTGTTTCAATGTGATTTCTCAAGATTAAAAAAACTCTATCCCACAGTAAACAAACAGGAACAGAGATCCAAATAATCCACTTAAAAATTTTAATTGAACAACATTTGATAGCATGTACAGCCCATTTTAGGACAACAACGGATGTCTTACCTTGGGATACACCATGACTACTAACATTACGAGAGCAGCATAGATCCATTGAACGAGTTAATCCAATACTCTAATAAAATAGAATTATTACTAACAGAAGATAACCCGAATGTTATATCGATATTTTCAACGTCTATGAGTTATTGAGATTCGTTAATAGCTACGTATATAATGTCAAATTTAAATATTATATTACCTGTTTAGAAATTTTACTTCTCGATAATTGACGTGGTATCTCTAATTCTGTCGCATTTTTTACTACATTTTTTTTGGTAAATAATGGAACATTCTTATAAATCCAACCAGAAGACAGAAAATAATAAGCGGACGGCAACAAAAAACTTTCGTAAGAAACGGTAAAAATCCCTAAGGACGCCATTTTATGTACTTTTCTTGGCGCATCTGTGCAATTCGTTCATTCTATTAGATAGGAACAACATTTTACAATTCTGTTAGCAGTCCTATTTGGTTATTATTATAATTATCGCATTAATTTATTCATTTCTGTAATAAAGTGTCTATCGAAACGCAACGACTTCCACAACTTGAAGGAAAATCACTTTATTACAATAATTACGTCTTCTACCAAGGACTAGATTATCTATGGCTACTCTATCTTCGGAGATAAAATCTCCTGCTTATATACAATTGTGTACAGAGTATCTTCGTGACACATAAATCGTTATCTACCTTAATAAGGCTAACATCACACCTCTAGCGTACCTGGAGGTGCCAAACAGTATGACTAATAACTTTCACAATCCGTATTGCAATTACTAATACAAATCCTCACATATTTAATCTCACTCTACGATCTAGCACCTATACAAGTGTATCTAACTTAATTAGCCTAGTAATTACGTCATGCACGATATTCACACATACTGTATATAATCTTAAGCTATATTTGGGCTGCACTACATTCGCCCCTTCTAGAATTAAGCCATTTGCAAAATAAGTAATTCTAAACAATATAATCATCGAAATCACTCCAATCTAGACAGCGCATCAGCATTACCATTAACAATTCCTTTACGATACTGTATCCTAATTTTAAATTGGGAGATAAACATGGACCACCGCATCAAGCGTTGATTGCTATTTCTCATTTTATACAGCCATAGTAATGGCTTATGGTCCGTTTGCAATGTGAATTCTCTCCCATCTAAGTAAACATAAAATATCTGTAAAGCATACACAACAGCTAAACATTCTTTTTCTATCACTGAATAATTTCTCTTGACAAGGCCTTTCCTGACAGGTATCCTCCCAGCGAGATTCCCCAATGTTCTTCAGGTAATTCTGCAGCTCGCGCTTGCACTTCAAATACTTTTAAGAATGCTTCCAGCTCATTAGAGTCCTTCATTTTCTTTAATCCTAAATTCTTTGTCCTTGGTTCTTGCGGCCTAACCACTCGGCCTAATACTTGTGTCAGCATTTCCACAGCTTGAGATAAGGATGAATCTTTTGGCTGAACTTCTGATTTTCCCTGGAGGATCTCGTTCATAAGCTTAATGCTAATTTCTTCCTTCTTTTTCAGGCCTGAGATGTCAATTTTCAGCTTGTCAGCTTCTTCTTACAATTCTTCCAGCTTCATCTGGGAGATCTTAAAACATTCTTCGCCTGTACTTGCAGATGCCATAGCTTCTTTCGTAATTACCCTACTCGCAGCGCCAAATGTAATAAAGTGTCTATCGAAACGCAACGACTTCCACAACTTGAAGGAAAATCACTTTATTACAATAATTACGTCTTCTACCAAGGACTAGATTATCTATGGCTACTCTGTCTTCGGAGATAAAATCTCCTGCTTATATACAATTGTGTACAGAGTATCTTCGTGACACATAAATCGTTATCTACCTTAATAAGGCTAACATCACACCTCTAGCGTACCTGGAGGTGCCAAACAGTATGACTAATAACTTTTACAATCCGTATTGCAATTACTAATACAAATCCTCACATATTTAATCTCACTCTACGATCTAGCACCTATACAAGTGTATCTATCTTAATTAGCCTAGTAATTACGTCATGCACGATATTCACACATACTGTATATAATCTTAAGCTATATTTGGGCTGCACTACAATTTCGTAGCCAGACTTCTTATTGACTTTAGACGAAATTCTTCAATCTACGGTATCTTCATTTAATTCTCTGATCAGGATATGAAGCTTTACTGGTCCAAATTCATTTATTTCATACGTTCACATATTCTATTCAGATTATTTTGCGATTGAATTTTATTTCAGTTTGACTTGATTTATGGTATGTTGATAGGATAGTTTATTAGGCACAGTCAAATATCCCTACAATTTTATCTCTTTCGTCAGACCATTTTCGCATTATAATTGTATTAGGTAATCGAGTAGTTCACTTGCAGTGCGCTGTCGTATCCAAGTTATTACTACCAAATCCTCGTTCTATATGTAGGATAATTTATAGGGCAGTTAAATAGAGATACTATTTTATTTTATTGGACTAAGATGTGCATACTTTACTCTCTTTGAATTAAATGAGTTAGGGGTAAACGCTTAAATAAGTCTATTACTTAATTTATCTACAGGACTGGCTTATTCTACACTGAACCAAACTCTGCATTGCACATTATAAAGTGTGTTGGCGGTACCCGAAGTTTATTTAAGTTAAATTACATATCGAGTTTTTAAAGAACGGAACATATAGTTAGTTTTGTTATAATTACTAGATTATATACGGTACTGTATTAACTCTGTAAGCTATTGAAGTAAAACATTTCCATGATCCATGCGGCACAATTAGTGATCGGCATGCGAATATAGAAAGTTTAAAACAATCAGTAATTGTGCTGTAAGCATTAAATGGTAAATTTAAATCTTTTGGGTGAGTATTTTATTGACTTATACCACAAAATCCGACTTGATCAGTGACATAAAATAGTCAAATGTTTAGTACCCTTATTACGGGAAGCGATTACAACAGAATTATTCCATCATTTCATATTTGACAGTATTGAATAGTAAAGATTAGAATTTTAATCGATGAAAATTATTAAACCACATGGGTTAATATGAAAAGTATACATACGCAAAAGATTAGGTCCATAAATCTTACTTAAAACAGAGACACTCTAATATTCATACGATATTATTTACAGCTTATTATAATATCGCCCATCTAGCTGCTTAAGGTTATTTGTATCTTATCTAATAAGTGCAGTATAAAAAATTGATTTTAAATTACGGGGAATTGAAATTTTGTAAGCTAGCTTACGCATATAATTACATAGTAATCTATAACGAAAATGATAATTAGCAATTATTCAAAGGTGATAATGTACAACAAATAATGAATTATGAACGTTTATACCATGTCATATATTACAATCAAGCCTCCTATGTTAATTACATTAATATTGATTAATTAATTAATTATAAAATTTGATTTTACCTGTCAAATAAGCAGTCATATAAACTATTGCGCATATTAAAGTAATAAAAAATATATTTTTAGAGATCTGGGCTGATGTTTCTAGGAGATACGACAAATTTAATAATATTTCAATTAAGATAAACATACGCACGCATGTGAAATTTAGTCGGTATCAGGATGCAGCCAAGATTGCTGCAATACTTTTGACCTTCATAATTTAAGAAACAGTAAGGCGTTGCCCCAATTAATGCTATGAGATGCAAAATGCACAAAAGCGTACATCTTATTTAGGCACATTTTAATGATAATAGAATGCGACAGAAAATTCTGTATCATATAAGGCAGATGTATGGTCGTTTTTGCTATATAAAATACTGACGTAAAATATCTTGAGAAATTTTGAATGATAACTAAATATATTGTTTGTATTCGGTACTTTAAATATCATACAATTTACACTTCCGACCCTGATCGAGATAATTTACTTTAAAAAATTTTGCTTTAATGATGCTTAAGAAATCTTTAATGAGAGTTTGTTGTGTTTGAGATAAATTAACATGTTACTAAATGATATAAATTTTTATACAGTCTACAGTATGATCATGACGTCAGCTAGGATAGGATCGGAGGTGTTAAGGATATTATGTTTAGCGAAGGATGATGGGATGGGCTGTTACTGGTGGAATAAAATTGCAGGTAGTTTAGTCTGAGATCTAGCAATGTACTTATTGCATTATCTAATTTTTACTACAGTATTTTCGACAATAAAATAAAGTCATAAACTGTTTCTATCCACAATGGCTAAAGTCAAATTACTAAGAGACTATCTTTAGAGTATAAATAGGAAAAGCAATGATTAAAAAAGCTTATCTTAATGATATACCAAAAATCTTCAATAAGAATTTGTTCTGTTAGTGGTAGATAGAGTTTATTAATAAACGATATAAACGTTTATATTATAACCATGAAAAAATTATTTACAGCATCAACTCTTTAGTAAATTTTTTTTTCTATCAAATCATATCGGGTTGGAATTGAATATCAGAGATTAGTAATGATAACTGAAAGTTGTTTCTGCCCATGGATCAAAATGAATATTGACTTAAAAACCAAAAGTTATAGACGAATAAGGCTGCATGTATAATAGTAAGAAAAACAACCACGTAAAACCAATTTGCTGATGGTGATATCGGAACGCTAATATTCCTGAAAACAGAATTTAAATAAAAAATCATCTCCTTCTCTACATATTCATCATTCGATAGTAAACTATTTAAATAATTGAACAGAACTTTAAAATATTGTTACTAGAAGCATTACAACGGGAACAGAATGAAAAAATTAGATTATTATTATAATATTTCAATCTGCTAAATCCATAAAGGAACGCAAACTAAATTGCTAGGTAGTCTAATATTATTATAAAGTCATAAATAGAGCGAACCTGTATTTCGTTACAGCGGACGTTCGATATAGAGCTAATACGAATATAGAATCGGCGATATATTTTAAAGCTGTTTCAAAGTGATTTATCAAGATAAAGAATCCCTATAGTCCAGTAGACAAATGAGAATAGTGATCAAAATAATCTATTTGAAATTTTAATCCAACAACATTTTGATAGCATCCACAATTCATCTTACGACAGCAATGGATGACTTACTTTAGGATTTAACATGACTATCAATATTATTAGAGCAACATAGATCCACTGGATGAGTTGATCCAATACTCTAACAAAACAGAAAAGTTATTAATTTTACTAACTTAAGAAAGCCCGAATGTTAGATCGATATTTTAAACGCCTTCTAACTACAAGTATTCGTCAGTAATTACAGGTATACGACGCCATATTTACGTATTATATTACCTATCTGGAAAATTTCCTTCTTGATATTCGACGTAGTGTGCATCTTTACTAGCATCTTCATCTCCAGTACAACTGCATGATATCTTGGAATTGGTCATCCTTTCTCGAATGTTGACTAGCATGCCACTCACTTATAAACCAATAGCCAAAATACAAATAAATAGAATCACTGGTTAGGATATACGTAAAGTTTGATAGATGTGGTCTCGCTAGATTTATTTAAGACTTCAATAAGGATACTTACTCCAGCTAGAAGCAGACATGCCATTTGTTAGATATGATAACGTTGTCGATAACACGATAAATAACCTGATAACTAAGGCTAGCCAAGCATATTGGGGGA